TCCAAAAATGGAAAAAGGTGGGTGGGGTGCCACTGTGTTTGATTTATTACATGAGCAATATCTTAACAAATAGAAAAGATAAGAGATAAAAGATATTCTAGCTTGTCAATATAGGTAATTTCAGTTTCTAATTTGTAAGAAACTACAGATTTGGTATTTTGACTTCACAAACATCTAATATGAACCAGTGCTTCATTCAACATATCACGTGACACACAAAAATCGATGTATATCTGTGTTTTTTAATATTTATTTTTATATTAAGAAATTGAGTAATGTACAGTACTAAAATTTGAATTATAATCTACAGTTTGATACCAAACTTACTGACATGAATTCATGAAATAGTAGTTCAATAAAATTTTGAATGCGAGTCAACAAACGCAATGACACGGCCTTTCACCCATGACCCATCTCGAAAAGGGTTAAACCTACATAACTACCAATGATTACTGCCAAACTGCAAAGAAGAAAACCAGCAATTTTTCTTTTGAGTAGGTTCAAAGTAACTTAAGCACATTTATTATTAATTACTAAATAAGTTTTTCAAATGCAATGTTATAAACATCAGATTATTTAGTAAATGGTAAAAAGTGTGTTTTTGTAATTTAAATTGTTTCAAAGCTGTTACAGTGTCACTCTGTATTGAAATAAAAGTCCCAGTTTTTTCACTCTGGAAATCTGGTAACCCTACACATAACACAACTATCAGAAATCCTTCATTATGCAGCTTCAGTCCTAGTTGAACAAAGCTATTCTAAATTTGGCTTCTTATGATAAAACAAAATATAACAATAACAACCTTAGATAAAATATAAAAAAAAATCTTGAATTTAGCATAGCATACTCAACCAAAACCGCAACACCAAAACGTTTTGTACAAGATTCAAGAAAAGTACGAGTTCATATCTTGCAAATTAAAAAACTCAAACTAAAGATGTCAAGCACATTTTCTGGTCCTTAATTATTATTGCTGCCAATCATATCAAAGTAGCAAGAGAAGTGTGGATACAATTATCTATCTAAGTGGCAGTAAATGTAAAAACTGTACCATTCTCATTCTTGTACAGTCATTTCAATATAGCTTCTTAATTACTTCTGTGGTGAATTTTGTCTAGTAATGATTTTCTTTGACGATAAAAGTAGTGTGTGGATAATGTAACTAATGTAGTGTTCATTTAATCATTTGGAAAATATCTGACAAGCTTCCTATGGTAACCAGTGTAATAACACAGTGATCTTCAATGTCTAAAACCTTTAAAAAGTATAACTACAGAGTAAGTACAAATAAATATCACAGTGTATAGAGAACACCTATTAACTGCAAAAACCTGCATTAACTGATTTAAATATCTACCAAAATCTCCTCAAGATGTCTTTTATCTACACCTCAACATACAACTAATGAAACATATAAATAAAAGTCGATTAGCACTGAATTTCCTGTGTATAAATAAACACAAATTTACTTCAGCTCACAATATGTGTAGATTTGCATATTCTGTAACTTTTAAACTGTCAAATAGACTACACTGCATTTCATTCCTTAATATTTTCAATTGGTGCGAACATGAATAATTTTGATGGTACTATCTACCTACACATCTGTAGAATTACCAATCTCATGAGCCTTCAGCAGATCTAACAGTTTCTTTCTTCCTAATGTATTGGCAACATCAAGAGGTGTGTGACCATATACATTATAGCTATTAGTAATTGCATCTTTACTCAGCAAGTACCGCACTGCATCTTCATTATTTGCTTCTACTGCCTAAAGAAAAAAAAAAGACACAATAATTTTAATTTATAATGCTACAATGGGAAGAGAACATAAAAAAAAAAACAGTTCACAACATACATATCCTACCTTGTTCAAAAACCCAACAAGATCACTATATCAACTTAGCAACTAACATAAGCAGTGTATACAATTATTGTTTTTTTTATCAAAGAAAGCCTGGATTAATGAATTTATTAAGCCATTGAGGGTTAAATTTTATTTTTATATTAGATTACATCTGAAAAAAAGAATAAAATTTTAGTTTATAATAAAAATTACCTTACAGTATGGTGAAAGTTTTCAATCTAGTGCGAATACATTTCATCACACAGCCTGGTACAGCTAGGGTCATCAATCTTCGTGTAACACTACTAAATGCTACCATAGCCTAAGTTGTACATAGTAAACTATTTGGATTTTCAGGATGAATTTACTTTTACAGGACAACTGCATGAGGTGAAAAATATCTTCTGATGTTTTCTTTCATGTGATTATGCAAGATTTTACATTTAAAATCTATATTTCACTTAGACAATATTTCATGTTGCATAAAAAAAATAAACAAGTGGATTTACAATTTCTGATAAGTCTGATAGTGACAAATCACTCTTTTTGGACCAATTACAAAGGTAATACAATATATTTTCATTTGAGCTCAATATTTATATGTATTGTTAAAGATGGAGCTCCATTCTGCCAGTAACCTTGGACTTTGATATATCTTATTCTAATATCATTAGAAGTAAACTCTATAGGTGCTGAATTCTGTATAACTAACTTACAACAGTAAAAAAAAGCAGTGTTTTAGTAAGAATATTCTCTGTGCTAAGTTTCTCATTAACAACATGTATGACTTTTAGATGTTTAAAAAGCTTCAAGTTTATAAACTTGCGTGAAAAAGGTCTGTGATATTAAAAGTTATTTATAAAATGCATATGAAAAAACATGTCTGAAGCTTTTTAATAGCATTGTTGTAAACATCTTACTTTTTAACACATTAGGTTATTAGAACACGCTCCATCATGTGCAATACATTCCATAGGATATTTAAAGGTTATCACAGAATTCTGCATCTCGTTATATAGATTTGAAGATCAGTGAAATGAACTAAAACCCAAAATACTGAGTATTTGTTTAAAAAATTATTTTCAAAATGAACAAATCAACAATGATACTGTACAATGTATTGCACCAAAGCTGGCAAAGTATGATCATTTTCATGGTAACAGTTATGTCATATACTACCACAATGTAACTAGAAATATTATTTAACTCCTCATTCTTCTTGTAACTAAGAAGTTGAAGTATGGATACCATGAAAGATGACATATGAAGATCAGTATGATAAACACGTACCATGTGAAGAGCAGTTTGACCACAGGCATCAGGTTCACTCAAGTTGGCTCCAGCCAGTGTGTAAGACATCAGGCGTCGAACATCATTACGTTTAGCAGCACTATCAAACACAAACTTACATCATTTTTTTGGAAACAAAACTTGTTCAAAACTCATAAATACTGGTAATTCCAAAAAAAAGAAAAAAAAAGAAAATGAAACCAACACACTACAATGAAATATGTTCTTTAAAAATTTTAATTTAGAAACAGTTGATAAACTATAGTACCTAAAAAGTAGAATTTAATTAAACTTCTCTTACCAAGTGCACATACAAAAAATATATTATTCCTTCTTCCATAATACCTTGCAACTTATAACATGTAAAATAAGATTTTTTAAATGTATATAAACTAATAATTTAACCATAACTTCAAGATAGCTTCCACATGTTATGAATGATCTGTAACAGATCCAGCATAATAATTAAAAAAAAACATTTCACTTTTAAAAGTCGCATTTGAATAGCTTTAATAAGTAACCGAAGAATATTTTTCCTACTAATACTTAAACCTTCTTCTCTTTTGTTATATATATTTAAGTTATTTATATACATATTAGTAAAATTTCCACATTATATTAATGTAGTTTTCTTGAGGATACAAATAAAGCTATCATAATAGTCTCAAAGGTCCAAATAATTATTGAACATTTACCGAGTTAACTGTTATGCACTTAAACAAAACAAAAAAACATTAATTAAGACTAGTAACACTTTTCTTAGCTTTAAACTCTTAAATCTATATCAACTGCATGTGAATCATTTTTTTTAAAGAGATGCAGTTGGACATTAGACTTAAAAACCCAAATGTATGTTTTGCTCTTACTAGATAGATTTGAACCAAATTTGGCAATCTTTAGTTGTCACTCTAGAAGGCTTTTTTTATATCTGTCTATTCTCTGAGAATGAATATAAAGGTATAGTTTAAAGTGAAATAAACCAAAACAAATTTTATAATTCATGTTTAATTTGTCAGTCCAGATAAAACTATTAATACTTTTTATGTTTTATAAAGCTGGTTAGGTGAGGAAAAGATATTAAGTAAGCAAAACAAACACATCACATTTTGTAGTTTTTGAAGAATACATGAAATATATTTAGATTTACTGTTTGAATAGCATGTACATGAATAAAATACAAGCTGCCTGATGATGGATTGTATTTAAATTTCCTTCACAATATTATCTATTATATACATGTACTATGTAATATAATATACAATGGACTTTTATTTTATTAAAGCTTTATCTGCATCTCATACTGTATAAAAAAAGATTACTCACAAGTACAGAATTAAAAATATCACATCCTCATGAACTATAAACTATAACAATGTTTTAAATGATACAGCTGACAGTGACATTGGAATGTGATCTACTCATTAGAAAATGAAATACAAAATAGTAAAGAAGTGAAATCCTATACTTCAATAAATAGTCTGCCAGAATCAAGGGAGGTATAGTAAGATGACTTCCTGCTTTTCGTAATACTTCAATTACTTCATGATGATCAAACTCAATGGCATTTTGTATGGGTGTCTTCTGCTCTCGATCTCTCATGTGCACACTGGCCCCATGCTTTAAGAGATATTCTACAACACAGATATTACCCTCTGAAGCAGCTATGTGTAGTGGGGTTCGGAAGTCATAATCACCGGCAGACAGATGAGCTCCCTGTATCAATATGAATTTAAGTTACTACACTGTTATTTTCTAAAAAAGGAGCATGTCACATAGCAATTCTCACAAGGCTTAAACCTCTCATAGTGACACACTGTCATAAACTTAGAGCTAAATTAAAATTAAAAAGGAGCCAAAAATTAATTTCTTTCAAAGAAACGTTAAGATTTAAACTACACTGGATACAATTGCCAGGTTTTAACTTGTAATAAACTTTCTGTACATACTTTAACAGTAAGAAATATATCAACTATGATCAGTTTTGTAATGTGAATAGAGAAAAATTTAATAATATAAAAAATAACAGATTACCTTTGGCAATGTTTGATCTTTCCCTGTACTTTGGCAGAATATTGTACAGTATGTGGGATTTTTTGTAATTGACAGATATAATTCCATTCCAGCCAGTGCCATTTGAAGATAGATTAGGATTAACATTGAGTTTAAACTAGTGAAACATGAGATAGGTCTGGCAATCAATTGGTCTGGGTGCAGCAGTTTAATTGCACATACTTTAATTAACATAAACATATCCATCATGATCATTTTATCTTTACAGTATGAAAAATGTGAAATAAAAAAATTAGAGGCTAATTAGAGAAAAATGAATATTAAGGAACCAAGTACCTGATTTACAAACAAGCCACTGAGAATCTGCTTTTTCTTTAAATGAATTAATATTAAATCTTTAAAACAATTATGCACATGTCCCTCACTCTTGGTAATCATCAACTGTCATATAATGCAACTTAATGCCAGATTAAACACTAATTGTAGTATGCTTGGATTAAATGCCTTAAATAACATGACATTCTAAATAAAAAGTTTTACTACTGAACTTCTATATTACTTACAAACTTCCTCATTATGGATTTCATGCCTTAAATAACATGACATTCTAAATAAAACGTTTTACTACTGAACTTCTATATTACTTACAAACTTCCTCATTATGGATTTCATGCCTTAAATAACATGACATTCTAAATAAAAACGTTTTACTACTGAACTTCTATATTACTTACAAACTTCCTCACTATGGATTTCATGCCTTAAATAACATGATATTCTAAATAAAAACGTTTTACTACTGAACTTCTATATTACTTACAAACTGCCTCATTATTTCAAGTTTTTCAAGGTCTCCTTTAGCAGCCACTGTACAGAGAATGGAGGGATAAAGAGCACATCGAAGGCCATCAACTTCCTGAAAGATAATTGTTATATGGCACCAATTCTTTAATAGTCACAACATTTCACAAATATAACTATAAATCATTTGATATACAATTTGTATATTTTATGCACAGACAATTAACATATGTATAGGTTATTTTGAAATGCAGAAATACATTAAGTTTCCAAAGATCCACAGTTAACGTTTTAAGAGACAGAATTAGTTAAAATTTTTGCAGCATTATATTAACCCTCTCACCAGGGGTATCATTTAATACCCATGAAAAAAGGCAAGAAGATTTAAAAGCATCATTACTTCAGCTGATGAGAGTCTCATGGCTGTCATAATTCCTGTAATCAAATCTTTGTCTTCAAGCCTGATTTCTTTGGCCACAGTGAGCTCACCTCTCAAGTTGGTCTGCATCATCTGGATAATTAAGAAAATTAACTTAAAATAACCATTTAAAAGTATTAGAATTTATTATGATTGTTAATCACATTTTTTTTGTCCAAAAACATTAAATCATGTAGCAAAATTAGATGTTTAACTAAAACTAATAGGCCAGGGTAACAAACTTACTTAAACTATTTGTTTTATAAGTATTTCCCAATATTTTTTGCTTTCCATTTGAACAGGAGGTGGACTAATCAAAAAATATAAAAGTTGGAAATAACAAGTACAAAATGATTAAACTTCTGTAGACTTTTTTATTTATACACAGTCAACAGTTTTTGTAATCTTTGAATATAGTGCCAATAAATGAGAGACTGATCCATTATCATTAAATTTACACATCAGAAGTAAGACAAAAAGTAAATGTGTCAATGAAAATTTGGATATACCTCACAAAGTCTATTATACATTGATAATGACCAAAAGAATAACATAAAAATACATCACAAATGTATATGTCCTAGATAAAAGTTTTATGTAATCTTAAACATTTCTTTAATCTTAAAAATCTGCTTCAAAACTCTTTCTTTTTCTGTTATTAATGGGTGTGTGCCAATGTTTGTAAAACACTTTCAAAATCTACAATTTGATGCCAAGTACACTTATTATTATATCTAAAAAAGTGATGAAAATTATGTTTGACTACAGATGTTCTTTTTATTGCAGTCTTTTTAATAAATAAGTTATGAACATCAAAACAAGTACTTCAGTTCTGACTAGTTTGATAACAGTCATTCCCAAGGAATCTCTTTGTTCAATACCAAAACTTATATGGTGGGCTGGATCTATAGCATTTAAAAGTCCATGTGAAATTCTTTTAACATGTGATTTATAAAACCTAATGCTATTGTATAAAATGGCTAAAACAAAACAAGAAGACTCATTAAGCCTAATAAATGTGAATAAAATTCATAACTGACTGTAGATGCTTTTGGCCATGATCCTCTGCGGATCTGATCAGGATTTCAAAGTAGACAAATTCTACTACACAGAATAAGCTAATGAAAAACCACAAACGTTGTGTACTGTTATAAACATCAACTTCAAAGAATTTTACATCAAAGAATAGACTAAAAATTACTTGGTTTTTAGTCCTAACCTCAAGATGAAATTTCAAGATAGCTATACAAGAGGTTCAGTACATTATATTAAAAAGATTTTTGAGACGCACCATATCATTACAGTACATGCCACCACATCTGGTAATGCTCTATCTCACAACTATGCATATTGAAAACATTCTTGTAGCATAGTTTCTATTACAAAATACTTTGTTTTAAGGCTGTCATGTCCAAAGCATACCACTCATCCCTCCTGGCTTACATAATCTACCTAATGTACAAGGACGATGGTTTCCCAGTGTATGTTTCAACAGTCCAACAGCATATAAATCCATAGGTGTTGCAACTTATGTACACCTGACTTGTGTTACCTTTACAGATGGAGATCCTTCTTTATTATGTGCTATTGCATGTGATACATAGACAGCCTTTGCTACTGAATTTTGTTTATGTGGATTTTCACCTGTTAGGAAATGCTGCACTTTATCTACCATGGATAGAATATGACCTGTTGTAGATCTCTTGTTGAATAATACTGGTGCTCCAAGTTGATCCATATTCCTTTGTTTTCCAATGCTTTCAAATACAGGGTACATCTTTGTCTTGCAAATTCTAAATCCCCAACCTGAACAAATCATTATGATCCAAGTGTATGATTGTTATATGTCAATAACTGTTGTTACAAACCCTTTTGAAAAAAAAGAGATCAATTTTCAATGGCAACACAATACCTATATAATGCCCAAAAATGTCAAAATACAGTTTTGATACATTCCATTCCACCATGACTTCATACCACCTGTGGCTGAGATGTGACTTGCTCATTTGAATTTTCAAAATTGTTTTAATATAATTTTTTCAGTCCTCTGTTTACATTTTGAAACTTTGAAAGAGAGGTATGAAATGCATCTGTTAAAAAGGAAAACATTTTGCAAAAACTGCAACCCATGTTGTTGTAATTAATAGTGACTTGAGTTTAATATGCAGTAGCTAACAAAATCACTAAAATGTTTCAAGTTTTTTAAGCAACTGAATAACTTTTGTTCTGTATCTTTGTTAATTCTGTGTAGTAATTAACAACTAACATATACTTGTTTATTAGGAAAGCATTACAAACTAGGCTCTCAAACTCTGTGTTACTATACCTTTCTCTTTGTATCTATGGTCCATTCTGACTTGCTCAGTACATAACTTAGTTTGGTCAAGGATGCCTCAGGAGTCATATCCGAGCCTGGCACCACTCCAACCTCCAACAAAGCCTGAAAAAACAATATCTACTGTAACTGAAAAAAACAGGTACCTAACAGAATTAAACTTGAGCAATTAAAAATCATTCATTACTTCAGTAGTTAAAAGAATACAAGCAAGCTAAAGAACTAGAAATAACACACATTCATGCTTAGTATAAAATAATGCTTCAAACTCTACGTATATGATATATGGTAATGGCAAGAATGAAAACAAAACTGTACAATACATATGTTCAACTGCTCATCTGATTTAGTACTTTCAATATAGTTTGAACCTTTGTAGGAATAAAAGTATTTTAGAGTGCAAGCTGATGTGCTCCACAAAAAAACTACAACCTAAATTACTGTAAGAAATATGATGTGATAAGAGTATGAACCATTATTAATTGACTAATCTGAAGTTACCTCTTTCTTGAGATAAAACTTTGATCTGTATAAATGAAAAAGCCCCAAACACTTTAAAAAATTTCTTTTAAAGCTATGTCCAAGATATACGTAAACAAGTATATTAAAAACAGTATATCAAAAATCAAAGTTATTGATACGTTAGAACTTTTAAATGTGACTCAATTTGAAAATTTTACAATAATTTGTAATGTTTTCATATTAATAATTAGAACCATAAATGTAATTCAACTTCTAAATCATGAGCATATATTTATATCACAAAAATATAACACAATTAGAGATACTCAAGAAAACTAAAGTCATAAAATGCAAAGTTTATCCAAACTTACATTTCCTGTTTCATAGTATGGATCAACTCGACCACTAGAGCACTGAGAACAGTTTACAATTATTACACCTCTATGAGATGCCCTTTTTAGTTCATCTAGCAGATCCAGTCTGTGAGTGGGGCCATTACCTGCTCCATAAGTCTGTAGAACAACTCCTTGTATAGGAGGCATGAGAAAAGCTCTCACCTTGAAAGAATAATTACAAATGTTGATTTGTGTTTTGTTTATTGTTGTAAATTAATTACATAATTAAAATAATTCTCTAAAAAATCTTCAATCATTAGAATATGTAATAGGCTTACATGTTATTAAGATGTGCCCATTTCTTTGTCCAAATATTTTATTTCTATTTGTAGTATATCAATGGCAAGTGTTTGTTTATTGTTAAGAGCAAAGCTACACAATGGGCTATGCAAGTTTTGCCCACCATGGGTATCAAAACTGAGTTTTTAGTGTTATAACCATATACACTTACTACTGATCCACAAAGGGGCAAATGTTTTAATAGTGTTTGTGTGTGTGGTGTTAAGCTATCTATTTTGTGCTAAAAGTGGGTGTCAAAATAAGATTTGTTATGTTATAGGCCCTCACGTTTCCCACTGAGGGGCAATGGCAAGTGATTATCAGTATTCCACACACTATCACTACTGGTTGGAGCTATTGCTGGTGAAATAATTCCAATTTTATAAAAAACAAAAAGAAATATACAAAAAACACCTGCAATGGCTACAGTTCTATTCAGAAAATTATTGTTTTTGCTAAGCATTTTTTTAACACTCAGTGCTTGAAAGTAATAAATATCAAATTGCACCAATATTTTTATTACATCGTGTTAAGCAAGATGAGAATTACCCTATATTTTTTTTTATTATAACGAAACTTAGCTACACATTTTAAGAGATTAACAAAGTATTTATAAAATTAGGAAAGTTGTTTAATGATTAAAATATATTTAAATGTAATGTAGTAACAAAGTATACAAAGCACTTCCTTTAACATAAATAATCACATTCATTTTACTAAACCTTAACCAAAAAATAAAGTTTCAGGAAGTAGAAAGTCCATGTCCTTGCTACTAAACTGCTCTTCAGCAAATAACTGAGTAACAAATTAAACAAAATAAAAGTTAAAAAATCTTCTACAAGTTACATAAAACAATTTTATTGTCAAAGAAATGTTTTACAATAAATTTAAATGTTTTGGTAAAAACATTCAAATTTAGATCTCTGCCAACAAAGAATACAATTATCCTGTTTAAATATGTATAAACTATGTATAATGAAAATACAATTACACTCAATATTTTGTTAAAAATATATTTTTTATCATAAAACCATATACTATAGGCCTACTAATTATTGATGCCAACTAATATTATCATCTCTTATTAAACAAGCAGTTTTAGGTAGAAAAACATTCCTCAAAAAAATGTAATGAAACAATGTATGGAGAAACCAAATCTCAAATCTAAATATACTGGATTCCATGTAGACTGATGAAACTTCATGCCATGTTATACAAGTTTCATAAATCTTTTTATTTTATTTTAAAGTTATATTCTGTAGCTAAATAACTATTTGTTTGGTTCTTTTTGACAGATCATAAAAAAGTAACTAACTTATACTAGATATGCAACATGATGATTTAACAATATCTTAACTAATAATCTCAAAAAGGCTTAACTTTGACAATACAATTAGGTGTAACATGTTTTGTTAAAAATGGAAATCCAGCATGTACACAGAATAATCAGGTACACTGGCTAAGGCCAAATATTAGTAATGCTAATTAAATACAAAGATTCCAATCCTAACTAATGTCACGTAAAAAATGTCAGTACAAATAAACTGGAAACTGAGCAGAAATATAAGAATTGTTTAATTTCTGCAATAATTTTCTTTCCATGACAATACTTAAAATCATCAGTGAGTAGCAAATTCAGATTGACTTTTCTGTAACACCCATGCTTGTTAAGAGTTCTACATCAGGACACGTGGTTTAATTTGTTGTGGCTATTATTTTTTGTTTTTATTATTTTTGCCTTTTATTTTATGGGTATTATTAGGAATTAATCTTACCTGACATATTATTATGTTGTAGTTTTTCTTGAGTTTTTTAGTACTTTAATGATAGGATTGTGTCCTGATATGTTTTAGAGTTCCATATCGGGAAAAATTTTTTCTTAAATTGTTGTCATTGTGGTTGACTGTTTATTTTATTTTCAACTTTATTTTACTATCTGGTTATTGTTTAAGTAGTTAACTTACTTGTACATTTTTTTTTTAATTTCTAAAATTCCTTTTAAATTTCTTTGTTGTAAAGGTGGATCACAAAATAGACACCCTATTTTCTTGGATACAAATTCATGACTAAATGGCTTTTGTTTCAATATCTCCATGATGAAACTAATATGACTATACCAACTTCTCAATGGGCTGTAATATAGTTTCTGATTGTCATTTTATTCAGTGTTATACAAGTGTTTGAGTATAGCTGCAGAAGAACATACATTTAAAGAACTACAATCTCAAAGGTTGTTGTTTCATTTAACTACTATAAAAATTTACTTGTGTTACACCAAACCCAGAAAATATAAAAACAAAACAAATAATCAAAATTTAAAGGGTATAATGATGTAACCTGGAGTTAAAATTTGGATTGATTCACTAACATAAGACTGGTTGAGCAGGATAGCCATTCTGGATCAAGAGGTCATATATGATTTCTTGGAAAAATAATGATCACATTGTAAAGAAACACACCTTAATTGAATCTACTGAGTATATTCTGAGACTGAGATAGCTTGCTCATAATAACATGAGATAAAACATTTTTGGCTTATCTTTTGCACATCCCAATGGGAGTGAAAATGGTTGGACAGTGAACCTAACCACAATATATAATAATTTAAATCTCTCTGATGAACAGAATGTGGGTAAAATATGGGATGTGCCCCAAGGTGTAGAGTAGCTAGGGCACAATGGACTGTACATGGCAAATCAACTGCTTCCAAAATTCGACCTCTGGGAACCAACATCCATTCATGGGTAGGACAAGGATCATACAGTCAGTAAGTCAACTACAATCCAAAACGCAACCGTGCCAAAAACTGACATTCATGCAGGGGTAGGAAAGAGGGTCATACTGTCTTCACCTCAAATTCAGCTGATCAGAGGGAGAAAAGTGCACATGTGAGCAAAGTGAAATAACATACATATATATATATATATATATCCCACTCAAATCAAGTAGACTGGAACCACCTTAAACACAGTAACCTTGTTGGCATAAAGACATCGAGGGGTAGCACAAGAGGAAGAAGCGATGCAACTAACTAGTGCACCCACCGTGACTCACAACACTAGGGTAGAGCACTCGAGGCAAATTGATTGAGGGACCAGGGATACCCTGAACACATATGTGAGAACATAATGTTGATTGATTCAGCTCTAAATCCAAAAGTCAACCACTGGAAACTGACTCCCATGTGGGGGTAGGATGAGGGATCCCAATCATTAAGTTGGCTCACTCCAAAGCTACAACATCCCCTTGGACAAACATGTGCAGAGAAGAAGTGTCCATTTAGAGAACATCTCGCCATCTACAGTAGCAGACCACCACCACCCTAATCTCAACTGAATGGAGTTTTTGTTGCTTATATTATATATATCTCTCATTCAGGAAGTTATCTCCATGGTCCACCACTCTAGCAGCTTGGAACTGGAAAGTGGTAAGGATTATCTTATTCCACTGAAAAAAATGTGTGGGAGGGAGGGTGATGGAGAGTCCAGAGGAGCATTTACACAGGAGACAGTGCAGTGGTTGATCACAAAACTCTATACTGAAAAGCAGACCAAACCTGATGTATTCAATCTATGGAACAGCAGAGATGGGTATCTATCCCATTCTGCTTTACCCATGAAGTCCATGGGTGAGTATAGTCAGGAATCAGCAAACTCAAGCAGCAAATATATTGTGAGTAATAATCTGTATTACAGTACAGTGTGCATTTAACCCTCTCGCCCCGGGTACCCTTTAGTGCGCATGACACAAGGTTTTAGTGTCTTACAATCAAAGTTTTATTAAACTACTCTTTGTTTATGTTATACCAATTAGAATAGCAT